ATGATTGATAGTCTAGGTACACACCCTTCCAATCAATGCACCTGTCCCCATCGATGTGCGACCCAAGCCCACATAATTTTAATTAAAACTCGCGCACTCAACCATTTAGCAAAGAATGGAAATTAATTTGCAAGCGCAAACAGAGTTAACCGAACCAAAACCCAGGGCCCACAACACAGAGCCAAGAACCCAGAACCACCGAACCACCGAACCAATGGCAATTGGTAATGGAATGGCCATGGCAATGGTAAAAGGAATCAATCAGGCGTGGAGCCCATGGCAAATATTTCCCATTTGGAGAACCCGAAGTGCGCTACGTCTGATTAGCCCCGGCAATCGGAATGCAACTTCCGCCTGAAAATGAAAATGTTTATTAAAAAATTTTCACTTTTACATAAATTTTCCGGGCAGCAGTAGCAGTAGCAGCAGCAGCAGCAGCAGCAGCAGTATAAGTAGTAGTAGCAGCAGGTAGCAGCTGGTGCCATCTGCCAACGGGGATGGCCACACCCAGTGTTTTCCAACTGGGAACCGCCCCCATTTTTCCAACTTGTATATACGGGGCAGCAGCAGTATGGTTATCTCTTTCGCACAATCCACCCATTGGATGCGCATTTCGAACCGGTTTCTGCCCAATGCCAAAAGGGAGACCATTTTCGATGGCACGAGCAGCAGAGTGCTGACTTATACCAGCATGTATAAATTTATATAGTAAGTTTAGTACATGGGGAGATACGTACTCCTCTATATACAGTGGACATGGATCCGGGGGTTGGGTGGTTGGGTGACTCTGCTCCAAGTGCTCCACTTGAAGGCAGCTGCTCCTACGCTTTGTCGTTTGTCTAAATGTTTGTGTTGAGCTGCGGGTGAATCGAATGGGGTTTGGGTGTGTGGAATGGTGTTGTGGGTGGATGAATGGGGAATTTCCAAAGGGAGAATGGATGTTGGAAAGGGAGGTAACCCTACCCAAAAGCAACCTACATCAACTATCAGTTCTTACTACCAGATACATTGATTTCTATACCCTCTATAAAGTCGGTTTGGAGGAAGTGTATTTAGGCGGCTCCTCTGTGAAATACACTGTAAAAAGTATTGTCATTTAAAAAAACCATAAAAAAGTCAAACCTCAAATTTTAAATGGAATAAAAACAGATATTATAGATCAAAATTAACAAATATTATTTTCTTATAATCACCTAACATGTGTTTTTGGGCCATAATGAGTTTTTTCCTAAAATTTAGACCATTTGACCAATTTTTAGATAATTTTTCTTCAAATGTAGATTATTTTTATACATCTTAGGTCATTTTGGTCTTTAGGTGTTTTCTTAGTCTATAATAACTCGCCCCAAGATATACAACTATTTAATAGTTTGCTTTAAAAATATATATATATTTTTCTTGCTTTGACATTGTACGAATTTGGTTACAATTATTTAAATAATAGTTCAAATTTTTTTGTTTCAGTTCCGGCATATCCGGAATCATCCTAAGCTAATAAACACTATTGCTTTCAGTTTGCATTGGATTTTGGTCTATTTACACGTAACATTTTAAGTTTCGCCTTTGAGCTGATCAACCAATTGGTTTTCGCATTAAAAAGTTCACAAATTTAAAAGAAAATTTACAAAAATATCAACTCGTCTAGAAATTAGAAAAAACACTTTTGAAATAACACTTAAAATCTACAATGAATCGCCCTGAAACCGTTGATGGTCCGCTCAAGCTTCTCCTTCTCTGTGAAGCTAGTGGTCACTAGTGATTCCTGCTCCACTAGGAAGCTAGAGAAAACTAGTGATTCCTCAGTGCCTCGTTAATGACACGCAGAATTTCGATTTGCAGTTCGGTGAAGGCCACCGGTTCCAGCTGAGCATTACGTATCTTCATGGAAACAGCCTTGAAAAACGCACCGATCTCATCATCCTCTCCAGAATTGTGGCCATTGCTGGAGGGAAACTCCATATGGCTGGGCTTATTCGGCGTGATGGGTGCCGAGTGATAGCGCGAGGTGGATGTGGAGCTGGGCGTGGTGGCAGCATTCTGGTATCGAGGCGTTGTGGGCGTCTGTATCTCCAATTTCTGATACTCTCCAGTTGATTGAGGCTGCTGATGCTGTTCTAAGCTAGAGGCTCCTTCGCTGAGCTGCTCCTGTTTGGCCATCGAACTGCCAACGCTGTGCACAGCCATGTAAACGGGTCCCTCGTCGTGATCGTAACTCATTACATGCTGGTCTTGCTGCTGAGGCGTCTGTTCCGCTGCCGTTGTTGTTTCCATCTCCTCATCATCGTCTTCCTCCTCCTCATCGTCATGATGTGCATCCCCATTGATGTAGTTCTCGATGTCCATGTCATCGTAGGAGGCCACACACAACTCACTGGCCTGTTGCTGGTGTTCCTCCTGCTGTTGCTGCTGCTGCTGCTGCTGTTGTTCGGCCTTGTGTGGTCCAGTCAAATGAGGCAAAGCGGGCATGTTGAGTTGCGAACTCGACGAAGACGACTCCAAGGTGCTTTGCTGCGTGGGCGGCGAGTGGGAGTGGCCCATGTGGTCCTCCAGTTCTCGAACCGAGTCATTTTTGGGTAACAGCATGCTGAGTTGCGATTCGGCGTCGCTGAAAGGTTGAACAAAAATCATTAAACAGTCTTTTTAAAGAATGAGATCCCACTCATTTGTATGATAATGTCAGCTTATGTTGTTTCTTATCCAAATTATTTAACAAAATAGCTAAATATTTTGCAAATGAAATGAAATGTAAGCTGATTTAAATGCAGTTAAAGAATTTGTTAGTTTGGGGTTCTCAATGAAAGGTTGCTAGTATCATAGTATATTTGATTTAGAATCCTAAAACCGTTCTTACAGCGTCTTTTGTTGTATGTACTTTTGCAGGAAACTGAGCGAATCATAGTGCTTCCAACGCGAAGTGGCGTCGATGTGCATGAGTGTCCTTAGTCGCTTGTGCTCGCGAGCATATTGGTCCCTTAAAGCCTTCCACTTGAGTCGACATTGTTTCACTAAAATAGTTAAAGTATTAATAATCAGGATCATGTTCGCTATTCACTACCTACCCGACTTCTTAAGCTTTCTGGCGATCTCCTCCCACACCTCCATCTTGAGCTTGGCATTGCGATAGTTCTCGTTGCTGTAGTTGTAGATCATGTCCTCCTGCTGGATCAGCGTGATCAGTTCCTTTTCGAAGTAGCTCTCCATGTTGAGGAAGGTGTGTATGGGATCGTCGTCCTCCTCCTCGGCATTTGTCGATTGATTGTGCGCAGCCGAAGTGGTGGACACAGTGGAAGTAGCTGTTGCACCTGAGTTTGACTGATTGGCGGCATTGACGCAGTCCACTAACTCGTTGTAGAGAGTGTCCACCACAGTGGTTGTGTTAGCCGTGCCGCACTGCACAATGATTGATGGGGTAGCACCGCCTCCCGCATCCGTCAGGTAGTTCCAATTGCTTTCAGGTTGCGTCTGCAGTTGCTGCTCCTGCTGCTGCAACACGGCCCCAATATGACTGGCCAAGAAAGTGGCCGCCGGCTTCTTGTCCACCGAACTTGCCGAGCTGAAGGTGCAGTTGTCCAGCAGCGCGGATGCACTGGCATCTTCAATCTTAATGCTGCCGGAGAGGTTGAGGTTCTGGCTGCTGCTGTTGCTGCTGAAGGAGGTGCCCAGGGGCAGAGATATTGGTGTTGTCGTGGGCACTAGGCCATTGGCATTCTGGCCGGATCTTCCTCTGTAACTAGAAAAAGTAAACCTATTAGCTGGAGGTAACAATATAAAGGTTACAGTAATATATCAAACATTAGCGGCCTTTTATAAACCTGTTCAGCGCTTTTATGCTCTTCATTATATCTTCTTAACCTTTACATAATGTAACAACGTTTTCTACATGGCTTAAAAAAACTGGTTGAAACCCAAATCGAGTTTATGGAATATATGAAAATTAATAAGTGTGTATATTTAGGTCCATAGTAAAATATTAAAACAGAATTTTTTAGCTCAAGAAGTGGTGTAGTTATGAATCTCATTTGATAAAATTCCAGAAAATTAATATCCGGGAATACTTGATAAGGATTATTTCCGAGTCTCTTATTTACGAGTCATGGAGGTTTGTCTATAGACCACATTATGGGCTGTCCCACTTACTTCCTTGCCAGCGCATATGGACGCAGGAAATCCAGTTCCTTGAAGTACTTCCACTTGACGGCTTTAGCGCAGGCCTTGGCGCGTTTGAGTTCCCGGCAGTACTGATCCCGCATGGCCTTCCATTTGGACTTGCACTGTACATCTGGAAATGTATGTTGGAAATCATCTTGGAATGGGGAACACCAAGAAGAGGAGCAGCCACTCACCTGACCAGCCCACATTGCTGCCAATCTCCATCCACTTCTCGTCCTTGGTCTTGGTGCTCCGGTAGTTGGGGTGCTTGGGATTGTAGAGCGACTGCTCCTGGGAGACCAGCGAGATGAGGATCAGCTCCTTGGGAATGCTGACCACATTCTCGCCCAGACTCGCGTCAATGCTGAGATTCACGAGCTGCTGCTGCGGCTGCTGGTGATCCTGCAGCTGGTTGGCACATGGCAGCGTCTCCATGGCGTTGCCTACTTCGCGTCCATGCTGGCGATGTGTTTAAGCGGGCAATTGTTATAAATAAAAGCAGGGAAAACAAAAATGAGGTGACCGAACAGCTGAGTCTTGAGAGTTGTGTAATTAGAGGGACCAGATTCATCACGGCCATAGAAACACCGTTGTTTGGTTAAACAAAACCCATAACAGTCAACCACCTGGTAGCCCTATTCAATTCAGTGTTGTTAAGAATGCATTTATTTAAGTTAAGTTGGCAGCCCTGTTGTACGATTTATTTTGATTTTTGGCGCCCAAAATTTTGCCTTTGTATATATTTGTATTTAACGACTAATCCAATTAGTTAATTGCATTACCGCTGAGGAAAAACAGAAAACATCATAACAAGCAGGTGAAACAAATTGTTTAACACTCAGTTTATTGTGCGACGCGGTGCGGTTTAAATCTAAATATTCTCCCTGCAAATATTGCGACCGTTCGCTATAATTAATGCTTAATCATGCCGAAAATTGATCCGGAAACACAGAAACTTTACGACGAAATCAATGGCATGATACAGAAGTTTAAGGTGAAGAATTCCTTGGGATGTACACTACGAATTAACAAAATCAACAATTTACAAAATGAGAAAAATTCTAAAAGTTTAAGTTTAAAAGTTCTATGCCACCCACAAGCCAATACACTTATCTAATTAATAATTTGACAGAGAAATTTAAATTTAGACTTTATCCTTGTGCTAGCATCATTTAAACAAAGCATCAAAATACGAAAATCCGCAAATATGCAAATTAAAATCTATCAAACTACAAAATGACTTAATTGAATTAAAAATTTAGCCTCTGAAAAACGAATTAAAAATAAAAAATCAACAATTAATTCAATTAAAAATTAAACCAAATTCAAACAAATTATTAAGTAAAAATTAATGAAAAAAATAATTAAAACATTGATTTCTTAGTAAAAATATGTAATTTGCATTTAACATACTATCAATTATTCCATCTAAACTAACTAATAAACTAATCTTAAATAGCAAATCAGATTGAAACTCTTAATGAACATAAATTAACAATTTTTTTATGTGGACAAATTCGAATTAGTCAACTGTTTTAATAATATAAAAATGTTTACTGAAAAAATGTTTAATGAGTACGCATGTCCTCAGACAAACGTTGAAAGAACCAATAATTTTCTTTGAATACGAATATTTAATTAATTTTCATGCACAATTTTCACCTTTAATTTGTAGGATGACCAACAATCGAAAGCGGATTGCACGTTGGCCGACAAATGCGGCGACATGGGCGATGTGCCGAAGATTCGGTTCTCCTCGAAAAAGATCCTCAAAGGGCACATCAACAAGGTGAATTCGGTGCATTTTGCCGGGGACTCGAGGCACTGCGTCACTGGATCCCTGGATGGCAAACTGATCATCTGGGACACCTGGACCGCCAACAAGGTGCAGATCATCCCTTTGCGATCCGCCTGGGTGATGACGGTGGCCTTCTCGCCGTCGGGCAACTTTGTGGCCTGCGGCGGAATGGACAACCAGTGCACCGTCTACGATGTGAACAACCGAGATGCCTCCGGAGTGGCCAAGATGGTCAAGGAGCTGATGGGCTACGAGGGATTCCTCAGCTCCTGTCGTTTCCTGGACGATGGCCATCTGATCACCGGCTCGGGCGATATGAAAATGTGCGTTATTACATACTAAATCTATAAAATTTTCAAATTAATGAGAATTTTAAAACAGCTGCCATTGGGATTTAGAAAAGGGCGTCAAAACAATGGATTTCAATGGACATGCTGGTGATATTGCTGGCTTATCGCTGTCTCCCGATATGAAAACTTATATCACCGGCTCTGTGGATAAAACTGCCAAGTTGTGGGACGTACGTGAACAGGGTCATAAGCAGATGTTCTTTGGCCATGACATGGATGTGTCCTCAGTCTGCGTAAGTAAATATTTCCATTTTCTTATAGAATATATGACCTCTTCTTAATACAATACAAAAAGCAAAAACACTTTGTACTACATGTAAATGAGACAGGACAAAAAATTAGAAAGGGAAGAAGTAACATCCTTAACCGTTGAATTTAGATGGCTTAGATATTTTTGATTGTATTTACATTATTTCTTTAATTATAATTTTTTTTAAAAATCAAAGAAATGAAATTTGAAGAACTGCTTTCGCAAAAAAAAAAATAAAATAAATTGGAGTCTTAATTAAAGGCAGAATGTCATATTCATAAAATATAATAATAAAACTAAATAATAATTTTAATAATTAAAAGTTTATAGCCGAACGTCGATTTTATATGTAAAGAACTAAATTAAATCTAAGGGATCATTATATAAACACTAAATTGTTTTTTCAAAATCATAGTTAGATTTAAGCTTAACAAAATCATGATTTTATAACAATCCTAAGCAAATTCTTTCCTTATAATCCACCGTTTATAAATAACCTTAAATCTGCTTTTTAACGTTCCCTTATGTTATTGTATTTTTGTTCAAGCCCATTTGAGTTGATACTATATTATATAATGTATTTTTTTTTAAATGACTCTTTTATTTTTGCAACATTTCAGTACCATCCCAGTGGCTTTGGGTTCGCCTCCTGCTCGGAGGATCAGACGGCGCGCATGTACGACCTGCGGTCGGATCAGCAAATCGGGCTGTATGAGCCGCCCCAGAAGAACACGGGCTTCACTTCGTGCGGTGGGTTCTGGTTCTCAGTTCGCCTTGACTTTTGAGGGGTTTTAATCTGATTTTCTTTGTGTGCCCATTAGCTCTATCGACCAGCGGGCGCTACCTCATGTGCGGCGGAATCGAGGGCAATATACACTCGTGGGACACAGTAAAGGAGCGGCATACGGGTGGGTATTTAGTCATGGACAGTGGACAGTGGACAGTGGACAGTGGACAGTGGACACTGCACTTGACGGATTCGTTGGAGTGGAATGGGGCTGGGCAGACGACTAATGCTCAGACAGCCACTTGACTTAAATCGATTTGTTGACTTTTGTTTCTTTTGTATCCATTTCTTAGGCTCACTTTCGGGTCACGAGAACCGCGTCACTTGCATCAGCCTGTGCCCCAATGGCATGTGCCTGTCCTCCACCAGTTGGGATCAGCAAGTGCGTCTGTGGCTCTAATCGTCTCTGATCTTGGTTCAAAATGGTCCAAAACTAATGGCAATGTTTATGCGGACGATTTACTTGCAAATACAAAATGGATAGCTTTCATTATTTATGTGCAAATAACTGAAAGGATTTTTCTGATTAGTACTTAACCGAAAGTTTAAGTCCAATTCCGAATTTATAAGATAATTATTTAAAAAGTTACGACTTTAAAATTTAGCTTCTTATTATAAATTTGTTTCTTTTAAAAAGTAAAATCAGAAAAGGCCCATTAGTCAGAAAAAACTATTGTAAAATGGTAAATGTTTTTGAAATCCTTAATCAGCTATTATAAAATTTGCATTTGCAAGCAAAGTGTGCGTATAATTTTAATAATTAAATACCTAACTAACTTAAAATATAGCCTCAAGTAATTAGCAAATGCAAATTGAATGCGTCATAATAAAATGTATGAAGCAAACTATTTGGATATATTTTCTATAATTCTTTTTAACTCACTAGAAATCCCCAAATGAAAACCACATAAAATTTTTAATATTTTTTTGATATTTTTTATATTTTTCTTATAAAAAATACTTATACAATTACGAAGATATTCTTGCTGCTGCGATTTTTGGCGCTTGGTTTTTGTTTGTTTGTGGAAAAAGTTCTTTGAGCTGGTCAAAGAGGCAGCGAAGTAAATTAAAACAAATCACTTTTAAAATCAACAGAAAAAGATACAGAAAGAGACAGAGAAATAGTCAAAGATACAGATGCAGAGGAAAAGTTAAAGATACAGAGTAAGAGATACAGATAGAGAAAGTAGTAGGGAGTCGAATAGAATAGAATTTACATAAATAATAGCGGAAAGAAACTGGTTGTTTAGGATCACACAAGAAGCAAGATGCAACAAATTGAGTATTTCTGTGGATGGTTTAGCTCGCTCTCACACAGTTTGTTAGGGCTTTCATTGTTTTTGTTTAGTTTATCAGACTCTCGGTGGAACTACTGTGAGTTGTTCTCCTTGGAAAATGGACTGCTCCCCGCTCCAACGCTCCCCTCTAAACGGAGAAACCATCACCGGTGGGATCGAGGATCCAGGGATAGTTGTTGGGGCACTCCATGCAGGTGAACAGGCGCAGGGTCTCGCCGGGCAGCTCCCTGGTGGTCAGGGGGCACGCATTGGGCAGCGAGCAGTAGGGCTGACCCTTGACGTCGCACTTCTCCTTCCACTCCTGGAAGTCGCGCAGCGAATTGAGCTCGGTGGGGTTCTGCATCCACTGGATCACCTGCAGATTGGTCACGAAGAACACATCGTTGCGTCCGAGCATCTCCTCGATGAACTTGATCAGCTCGTCGCGGTACTCCTTCTTCGACTTCAGCCACGAGGCATGGAAATGGAGGCCCAGTGGCGCCCTGTTGCTGTTGTAGTGGCGATTGAAGTTGTGGCGCAGCAGGCGGGCGAACTGATCGCCACTGGCCACATTGGAGCACGAGTCGACCATGTGGCAACCGGGCAGCGATTCATCGAAGGTGGGGTCATCGCGACGATCCAGCTCGTTCATCACCATCTCCCAAACGGGATGGCTACGCGACGGGCAGTTGTGCGCATTGCCATTGCACTTGTGCGGCATCCGGAAGTACAGCGTATACGGCCAGATGGGCACACGTCCCAGTGAGGCGGTAATGGAGGCATCGTACACAAAGAACTGGTCGGCCATCATCTCGAACTGCTTGTTGCCACCCACGCGCAGGTAGGGAGCCCTCATGCCAATGATCGAGCCATCGGTGATGTTGGCAAAACGCTCCACAATCAACCGCGAACCGGCCATCTCGGCCAGCCAGTCGTCGTAGCTGCCACCCGTCCAGTAGTTGGGATCATCCTTGTGCGTCAGCGAGAACACGGAGATTTCGTGGCCACGACGATGCAGATCCTGCACCGCCGAGTAGTTGGTGTACTTGTGCGACACGAAGAAAGTGCCCTTGATCGAGCAGCCATTGGGATTCTGGCGCTGACCATTGAAGATATCCTCGTACAGATCAATGTTGTCCACATTGACGGCTCCGTTGAAGGTGATGGTGATCATCTGGGGCACCTGCTGGGGCTCAATGCCGCCGGGAATGCGGGTTCCGTCCGCCGAACAGAAGCAGTCGGGCAAAGCGCACTGCGTGGGATCGCACTCGGGGGCACGGTTGGGATCCTCGTCGACAGCTGGGGATTGGAAATGACTTAAGGATTAGTCACTGCCAGGGAGGATTTGTGGGTGGAAATATTTGCAGACTCCTCTTTAAATTCCCTGTGGTTGAAAATGACTAACTTGGGTTGGAAATTTATACATACTTATAAAACAAAAGGAAAATAAATGATCAGCTATATCTTTTATATTATAAAGTATTTTATATGCTTATTTCACATTTAATGATTTCAATTAAATTAAATTAAATTCAATTTGTAAGCTGAGCCATGTTTAAAGCAGCTTTCACGTTTATTTGGCCTTCATAAAGTTTACTCTGGAATGTATGCTACATTTTTTTAACTGAGCAGCTATCTTGTTGCTCGTACATTTAATTTGAAGGAATTTTTAAGAGGAACCCCTAGATTAGATATACTTACAGCAGGCGTTCTCATCGGACTCGTCCTTGCAGTCGGTCTTGCCGTTGCAGAAGAGCTCCTTGTCCAGGCACTCGCCATCGCCGCAGGACAGCTTGCCCGAGGGGCAGATGGGCTCGTCCGTCTTCAGAATGGGCTTGGCCTTGCGGGGCTCTGTGGAAATTCATTTAAATTAGCAAGGGTGTACTTTGGTCAAACTTCAAAGCCAAGGTGTGTTAGTGACAACAAATGTCTAAATTTCGAAATGAGAAGTATTTACATGAGTGTGATGGAGTTAGCACAGGTGGTGTTAGTTTCGATCTGGTGGGTTAGGATAATTAGTTTCACCTTTTTCTTTTTTTTTTTTTTTTGATCTACCAAAGTTCCGGAAGTCTAACATTGCTGACTATACTACTGTATGTACAGGTGTTGGTATTTGTTTGGTTTTTTTTGTTGTTTGTAAATTTTAATTTGGTTTGGCTTGTCTGGGCTAGTTGTTGGTCGTCACACTTACTCTCTTTCTCGTCGCAATTGGTCACCTTGGCCTTCCAGTCGCAGGTCTGCTTGATCACATCGAAGGCCAGACCCGAAGGACACTGAATTTCTTTCAAACCCGACTTGGTACATCTACAAAATAAAGTTCATGTTCTAATTTCGTTGTTTTTTTTTTTTTTTTTTTTGGGCGTTGCTAGCTAAGAGAACTTTGGCACCGATTCGGTTTTGCGGTTTTTGCTGTTTTAGGGGTTTTTGGGGATTTCCGTTCCGGGTTTTGATATATGCAATGACTCGATCGATTCGGGGATTTCCCCGGTTTTAGTGACACACACAGAGAGAGATATAGAGACACACACACAGAATTGGTAGGTGAGATACAGATAGACAGACATATAGCGATAGAGGACAGTTTTGAGGGTGGATAGTTGGCGGAGAAGGGGGAGAAGTGGGGGCTCTCGGGAAGTATATCGAGCCCTAGACTCATCCGCAGCTAAAATGCGGATGATTGAACTGGGTGGCGGCACTTACTCTCGAGCACATCGCAAGACTTCACATTCGACTTCCAATCGCAAAGCTGGCGCAATACATCGAATGCCAGGCCGCCGGCGCAGCGAATCGGCGCCAAACGCCATGTGCCATCTTCGCCGGCACTGTCGCACCTTTCGATACCGATACAAGAAGGTGCAAGAAATACGTTGGTAGGTAGGTAGGTGCTTTGCTTTTTTTCGTTTTATATCTGGACATCATCAGTCATCTAAACTGGTCGATCGGACAATCTCATCTAGCCTATAGTTCCGGCTTACCTGTACACCTCGCGACAATCGCCGTCGGTCTCCAGGCGGAAGTACTCATCCGCAGGACGATCGGCACAGACCTCCTCAACATCAACTCCTTCCAGTTTGTCCTGGCCATGTGCTATAATAGTTATAAAAAAAAGTAAGAGTTAAAAATGGCATCAAAATGGGTTAGAATTAAGTTATATAACTGCGTTAAAAGAAATTTTTTGGTATGAATTTAAATATATACCAAAACTTATTTAGTATTTTTTGAGTTTTTTTTTCCAGCCGGTATATACTTCAATCGGATATTTCATTTTTATCACATTTCGATCGGAACAAAATGCTTTATATTGTTTCTAAATCCTTGTATATTTCCCATCTAATTTTTATTCGTATAGTAGGGCATTGTATTTAGTCTTTGAAAATCAATTCAATATCTTTCCAAAAAGGTAAGGATTTTTAGAAAATAATGCAGTATACACCTTATTAATTTAAATTCTTTATCAAATTTTATAGTCACGTTTTCTTTGGTATCTTCGTGATGGGTCCAGATCTCCGGAAGGCACAAATGAATTTTTTACATATAAAGCATCTGGTTGAATAAAAATGTTTTTCATATTATGATGCCATACAAATATTTGATGTTTTCGTGACGAACATTGGTTAGTTATACGCTGAATTGTTTATTTACATAATTTTTTTCAAACATAGAATACGACGAGAAATAAGTTTTTTCTTATAAATTTATGATTTTTGAGCTCATTTAAAAGTTTATCTACCGTTTTTCGTAAACCTTTTATAAATTCTTTTGATTTCATTTTGATTGCAATTTTTCTTAGCCAACATTTTGAAATTGTATACTTATGGCCGGTATCTTAATGGTGCCATTTATCTCCGGCAATTCTATGAGTTAATCGCTAGTCTGGACCATTATAATTGGCCGCACCTCTTGGGTTAACTGTTAACTTACTGCCAACACGAACGACTTTCAACCGGTTTCTTGGCCGTTTTGTGTGGAAATACGAGTACAACTTCTAGCCGACCAAAACAACTCTCATTTTTGTTCATAACCATTTTCATCTCGTCTCGTTTGGTTGAAAACGAAAGGGCAAACGAAAGCGATGGTATCCCATTTATAGACACAGATCCACATTCGTGCGGGTACCGCTTTTCTGGCCACTGGGGAATGCCGATGGTGGATCGTTTCGGATCGTATCAAATCCGATCTTATAATATCGGTTTGTCATGTAAGGTGTCTGGCCAAACGGGTTTGTGCATTGGCTAACCGTTGTTTTTGGTTATTGGAAACCCGTTTTCGGTTTAACATTAAAATGATATTGCATAAACAACGTTGGCGGGTCCAAAAAAAAAAAAAAAACACAAAAAAAATACGAAAATAATATTAAAACGGAACCGATGGCAGGCGGCTGGTTTTTTTTTCGTTTTCCTATGCTAATTTCGTTTTATGGCCAACTCCGGTTTCGTCCTCATGCCACAGTTTTGTATCTCTTGTTCCGCCATCTCTTACATCATTTCGAGCGAAGGATAAGTATGATCGATTGCATGCCGCTAATGGCTTGGATCAACTGTGATTTTGTATATATACTTCATTGATTTTTTTCAAGTTTATTTGCCTTGAAGTCGAGTGTATATTTTTTCTTTGGCAACCTTGCGAAAAGTGGCAAAGTTTCCACCGCCAAAGGTCAACTGCTTAACTCTAAGTACTAGGTACTATATGGAACTAATGGAAGTACTTACCAACTGCCAGACAGAGGCATAAAACGCTCAAAATTGGCCACCAACGCGCCATAATTGATTCCAGAGCTCTCTGCGGGGGCGGAATTTGTGGAAAAAGTTAGCAAAACACACAAATCACATGCGGAACTTTAATATACATATATATTATTGTAATATTTTATAAACTCTACTAACTTTTGCCCAGACTCTGAGTGGGAATGCTTGGTTCGAAGTGGAAGTGGAGTGAACGGAGGCACTCTTCCAATACACAGCCACGCTTACACTAGGTGTTGGCCACCAGCAACGAGTTCTATTTATTAAGCCGTGGTGTCTTGGCCAGGCTTTGGTGCCGTGGTGGATTTCTTTTCACCACACCATGCTGCGCCGGCGCATGAGCTTTTGCCGAAAGGGGTACAGAGTAACCGCCTTCGGGTCTTGTGGATCGTATCTTTCGAAAATGCCAAGGTACGCAGGCGTCGCTCTTCTTTCTTCGATGTGTGAAGAAAGGCTAATTAGCATTTATAGGCGCAGGTGGGAGCGGGACTCGTCTGTATTTTACGACCAACTGTGCGGGGGTTTTGATTTTGACTTTTGTTTTTTTCTTTTTTTTGTATTGATTTTTGTTTTTTTGTCAAATCAAACGAACTGCACCTCGATGGGCTTGTTTACTCAGCTAGTTAGTCATCCGTCATAGACATAAATCAAATGCGACTGGCCCATCAATCTTTTTCTGCCACTGACCCTGAATTTTTGAGTCTTTTGTTTTTTGAACATCTGCGGCTTGGCTCTATCTTTATATTCTATCAAAACTATTATACAAAATCTCGATTTCGTAACTGTTTTTTTTCTTTCGTTTTGTTGTTTTCTAAACTATTTTCTTCTGCACGTTTATTGTCTAGTTGATTTTTATTTTCACCGGAACGCCAGAAGAATACCAATTGGGACACCTGATGCATATAAAAAAGGGGTTCGGTTGGGCCTGGAAGCTTCCCGATTTGTATGCCAATCGCAGCTGTCGCATAAAATTCTTGTTAACGTGGCTAAGACACTAAAAGGTTATTAAACCTCCGCCGACGACGACGACTCGAGTGTTCCAGCAAAAGAGAGTCTTATTTCGAGTGCCGCTGACTCACAGCGACTTAATTTGGCTGCACTCCCTGGCCAAAGATCATAAGTTTTAAAATTAATGATGCCGCGCTGTTAACTGTTTTGTTAGCCCCTTCTTTATTTATTTTTCTTATTTTTTCTCATTTTTTGCACTTCCCATTGGCCGGGCTGTTATGTAAAGCAGATGGAGGAGATGCAGGCGCAGCAACAACAAGACGGTTTAAGGGCCACATACCAGCCAACCTACCAACTGTCTGCTTGCTGCCTGTTATTCAATAAGCCATTTAAAGTGACTACCAAACCCGTAAGTGTGAGCGCAAAAAAAAAAAAAAAAAAAAAACAGCAACAAAACGGAGCATGTTTGCGGATATGAAATTGTTGGGGACAACTTGGGGACACTTTTGTGTAAATTGTGGGCATACACAAATGTTTAAGCACTCTGTAACAGAACAAGAGGGTCAACAGGAAATACCAATATTTGCTTAATAAATAGGGCATCGAAAAGTTCATTTCAAACATTTTTATTATCTTAAGCATAATAATATTGCAATAAATAGAAAAGAAAGAAGTTATACCTGGAATTCAAAAACAAGTGGCTGAATTTTATATTTTTTTATTTATTGATTTCTGTTTAACTTAAATATTCACGCAGAATATGTTTCTTAAATATTTAGTATATATTTTCCTTATTTGGATATTTAAAAAAATATAACTTTAAAGATGGGTTTAATAGCATTCGATTTCAAAAGTATAAATTTAAAGTATTCTTTGATAACTAAGAACAAGTTTAACATTTCTAAATTTGCATAAACAGCAAAGAAGTTGGTTAGTTAAATTCTTAATAGTTGTTTGTTGAGAAATTAAATAATATTATTGTCATTGTATTTATCCTTCGATTGGTTCGATTGGAGTTTGAAATACAAATGTAATTGAAGAGCATAGAGTAGCAGTTTTCGCCTTAATCTATAAAAGTTTTTCGTCAAAATTAAATTTGTTTCTAGCTTATTTATACTCTTTTTTAAATTTTAAAAATTTTAAATATTATTAGTTTTTAGCCTCTGTGACACATTTGCCAATATTCATTGAGCATGAGTATCATAGCTGGCCGTGAAGTGTTTTTCCTAAATATCGTTACCACTTTTGCTTTTATTGCCAGACTGCTTCACTTAGCCACAGATCACTTGGGCGACAGAATGTCCGACGGACAACTAGTATAAAAAAATGCCCCAGAGCAGTGTCAATTAAGTTTTATTCGTGTCCGATCTAGAAGGAATCGACGTGGTGGCGTGTTAATGCAATTTATTCGATTATTTCCAGTATACTGTCTATACAGCACATTGTGTAGTTATTTCCTGAACTTGAAAACGAGTTCTGTGTCGTGTCGCAAAAGAGAACATAAGTCAAATGAGAATGCAGAAAGGCCAACATGGCGTATGAGTGTTTTAATTTTTATTTTTTTATAGCAGCGGGTGTGCAGCGAGCGGTCTTTGTGCAGTGGAAAATTCTCGGAATCGCAACAGATCACAATTATATTTTAATTGCTGCGATTGGCCAATTGTGGAGTTAAACTGGAGTGGAGTGGCCAGCGGTGAAGGCTGCCAATTGGCACGAAGATGCGATGCTGCAAAAAGCTGTTCACCTTCTTCTGTGTGCGAAATGCCGATTGCAGCAATTTCTTAGTTACAATTAATTTCAGCGCTGCGCTGGTGATATAATCCCTCAACCGCATCTCACCTGAAAGCCACCAAAAACCAAAAAACCAAAAACAAAAAACACTGATTATTATTATTACTTCTCGTCTTCTTCTTGCCGTTTAATCAACTGTTAAAACTGGTTTTTCAATTAGAGTGAAAATGTTGATGATATGATGGCACCCCAAAGCGATGAGCAGATGAAGAGTGAAAATCGTTTTATTTTATCATCATTTTTTTTTTCTTTTTGTTTTTTTTTTTTTTGTTCCATGGGTTTTACGGATTTACATAATTTAGTTGCCCTCGATTTTAGGTTGTAGTTGTAGCCGCCGCTGCGATTGTTATTGCCTTTGATTTGATTTAAATTTGTAAGCGTTTTAACCTTTTTTTCGCAGCTGTATTTATATATATGTTTTTTTTTTGTGGCGCTGGAAAGGTCGTCGATACGAGTTTACAGAGTGAATGACACACTTTTGATTTGAAAAGAGCCAAATGCCACAAGTTAAGCCAAATCAGCAACGCCCAAGGGCTTTTCCATAGTCCTTCGACCAAAAAACGCGAATTATTTTGCATACGAAATGAAAAGTCAATCTTTTTGGCAAAACCATCTGTCTGGGCTTATGATATGCAAATGAGGGTATACTATTTTAATTATTTTAGAATTCAAATTTATAAGTTGTTGGTAGAGACTCCTCTCTATTTTATTACAATTAAGTGCAATCAAAACAAGAAAATTGTAATAAAACCCTATTTTCAGTTTATTAAAACGTTTTTAAATTTCTTAAAACTAAGAAAGTATTACTTTCGTAGAGATTGTATTATTGGTTTTAAAAATTATAAAGAAAAAAAGCAAAAGACATCGATTTGTTTAAATAATAACACAAGCATTTTAGATTTAATAAATAATATTTAAATATCAGTTCTTTAAAAAAGCTTCCTATATAATATTTTAGTTAAACCAAGCAAAGATGTTCTTGAATCGCAGAATATGGTAAGCCAATAAACTTAGTGATTGATCGTGATTTAGGGGGGAAAAGAGAAATTGCTTTTAAAGAAAACAAAAAAAATCAATGCAAAGCGGAATTGTTAATGAAGGAAATGGTGGCCAAGACAATAAACCGGAGTCGAAGTGGAAGATGAGCCTGTAAACTGTAAAAGAAATGCATAACCATAAAAGATACCAAAACACGAGCTGCTGAGTTGCATAACTCCGCTCCACCCTTGTTCCCCCCCTTCCCTCTCTCCCTCGGCTGGATGCCCCCCTTTGGATCCACCTTTCCGGTGGCTATATCTTCAGGTCCGATCCGAACCGATCCGATCCAAGACGATCAGTCGGGGGAGCGTTTAATTTATGGCAAGCCGAGAGCATCGAAGGCCTGCAGCAAATAACGGACTTTCTTTTTAGTTTGTCTTCACTATATATACTACACTCTTGTATTGAAAGCAATCTGTGCGAGTGTGTTTGCCTTTGACTTTCAATTTCCATTTTCATTTCCATTTGAAAACTCATCAGCTGCGATCTGTTAGTTTTTTCTATTTTTTATTGCTTACAGCTTGCCATCTTCATTATTATGCAATTACTGTTTGTTTCGCCGACATCGGTGTCTTGAACTTTTCACAAATGGCCTGTCAAAAATTGCGATGTCTTTGGCTGATCAATAGCAACAGCAACAGCGACAGCTGCAGCGAAACCAACCACTGATCACACACCTGGAAGCTGATGGTATTGACGTCATTCAAATTGGCAATATCTTACATATTCCAATGAATAATATCGCGAAACACACAGAACAAGGAAGCATATTCGAGAATTAAGTATACGACTAGTTGGCTGGCTGGGGCGCCAACTTGTCGAACAGTGGACGCAAAGCCAAGAAATCGTATGAAAATGGCAATCCCTTATTTAAAATACAACATAACAACAATTGACTTAATGTGTAACAATTTGTTCCAAAAAGTACAAAAATAAACTTAATTTTAGGTAAAAATGGGCTCAAATTTATGTGTTATCTTCTTACACTTTCTAAGTTAATAAACTCTAGGTCATTTAATAAAATGTAGGTCATTTTGGTTGCTGGGTGTTTTCAAAGTGTTCATAACATAAATACCATTTTAATAGTTGATAATTAAAGAAACCCAAAGCATTAAAATTATGCAATATTTTAAGTATATGCCAACGGTATAATATAAATTATAGCTCCAGTTTTAATTCTCAATGAAACCGGTTAGTCAAGCACGTTACTCTATATTTAAGTGTGATTATGAGTTTGACAAACAGGATTGGCTAATTAGTTTCATTGTATGCATACTTATAAAATTCACATATTTTAAATGAAATATTATTCAAGTGAAAAGTAAGAAAGTCAAGCCGACAAATAAATATTGCAATTTGAAAGAAGCTTATAATTAATTATTTATTACCAGCAAGACTTCAAAACAATGCCGTTTGTTAATGTCATTAACAATTGTATGTATTCATTAATATAAAAATGCTTTCTTTTGAATTAA